TATATATATATATATATATATATATATATATATTATATATATATATATATATTATATATATATATATATATATATATATATATATATATGATATATATAAATATATATATATATATATATAATATATAAAATATTATATATATATATATATATTATATATATATATATATATATATATATATATATATACATATATATATATATATATATATATATATATATATATAATATATATATATATATATATATATATATATATATATATATATATATATATATTTATATATATATATATATATATATATATATATATATATATATATATATATATATATATATATATTTATATATATATATATATATATATATTTTATATATATATATATATATATATATATATATATATATATATATATATATATATATATTATATCTGAGATTGAGGCATCATGTGTTCTTGTGCTACCCTTTACCAGGTGGGTGTTTTTCTTGCTAGAGGGAAGATGGATGAGGTTGTCATCTCTGAAAAATCCCGTCTTTGTCCACCTTATCAATTCCTCGCAGTATTTTATATGTCATTATTATGTCTTCCCTGACCCTCCTGTCCTCCAGTGTTGTCAGGCCGATTTCACTTAACCTTTCATCGTAGGACATTCCCTTTAGTACTGGGACTAGTCTTGTTGCAAACCTTTGCACTTTCTCTAAATTTTTGACGTGCTTCACCAGGTGTGAATCCCAAATTGTTGCTGCATACTCCAGTATGGGTCTATCGTATATGGTGCATAGAGTCTTGAACGACTCTTTTCTGAGGTATCGCAACGCTATTCTTAGGTTTGCCAGACGCTCGTATGCTGCAGCAGTTATCTGATTGATATGCGCCTCAGGAGATGTGCTCGATATTATACTCACCCCATGATCTTTTTCCTTGAGTGAGGTTTGCAGTTTTTGGCCACCTAGACTATAATCTGTCTGTGGTCTTCTTTTCCCATCCCCGATCTTCATGACTTTGCATTTGGCGGGGTTAAATTCAAGAGCCAGCTGCTGGACCAGGCTTGTAGCCTGTCCAAGTCTCTTTGTAGTCCTGACTGATCCTCGACCGATTTAATTCTCCTCATTAACTTCACATCATATGAAAACAAGGACACTTTTGAGTCTATCCCTTCCGTTATGTCATTTACATATACCAAAAACAGCGCAGGTCCTAGGACTGATCCCTGTGGAACCCAGCTCGTCACAGGCCCCCACTCTGACACCTCGTCACGTACCATGACTTGTTGTTACCTCCCTGTCAGGTATTCTTTGATCCATTGCAGTGCCTTTCCTGTTATGTGTGCCTGATCCTCTAGCTTTTGCAGTAACCTCTTGTGAGGAACTGTGTCGAAGGCCTTCTTGCATTCCAAAAAAATGCAGTCGATCCACCCCTCTCTCTCTTGTCTTCTCTCACCTCGTCATAAAACTCCAGTAAGTTTGTAACACAGGATTTTCCTTCCCTGAAACCGTGCTGGTTGTCGATTATACACTTGTTTCTTTCCAGGTGTTCCACCACTCTCCTCCTGATCTTCTCCATGACTTTGCATACAATACACGTTAGTGACACAGGTCTGTAGTTTAATTAATGCCTCATGTCTGACTCCTTTTTTAAAAATTTGGACTACATTTGCCATCTTCCATTCCTCAGTGAGTTGCCCAGTTTCAGTGGATGTGTGTACTCACCTAGTTGTACTCACCTAGTTGAGGCTACAGGGGTCGAGTCCAAGCTCCTGGCCCCGCCTCATCACTGGTCGCTACTAGGTCACTCTCCCTGAACCGTGAGCATTATCATACCTCTACTTAAGATATGAATGGATTCTGCCTCCACTGCATCGCTTCCCAAACTATTCCACTTCCTGACTACTCTGTGGCTGAAGAAATACTTCCTAACATCCCTGGAATTCATCTGTGCCTTCAACTTCCAACTGTGTCCCCTTGTTGCTGTGTCCCATCTGTGTGTGTGTGTGTGAGTGTGAGTGTGTGTGTACTCACCTAGTTGTACTCACCTAGTTGAGGTTGCAGGGGTCGAGTCCAAGCTCCTGGCCCCGCCTCTTCACTGGTCGCTACTAGGTCACTCTCCTTGAACCATGAGCTTTATCGTACCTCTGCTTAAAGCTATGTATGGATCCTGCCTCCACTACATCGCTTCCCAAACTATTCCACTTCCTGACTACTCTGTGGCTGAAGAAATACTTCCTAACATCCCTTTGATTCATCTGTGTCTTCAGCTTCCAACTGTGTCCCCGTGTTGCTGTGTCCAGTCTCTGGAACATCCTGTCTTTGTCCCCCTTGTCAATTCCTCTCAGTATTTTATAAGTCGTTATCATGTCCCCCCTATCTCTCCTGTCCTCCAGTGTCGTCAGGTTGATTTCCCTTAACCTCTCCTCATAGGACATACCTCTTAACTCTGGGGCTAGTCTTGTTGCAAACCTTTGCACTTGCTCTAGTTTCTTTACATGCTTGGCTAGGTGTGGGTTCCAAACTGGTGCCGCATACTCCAATATGGGCCTAACGTACACGGTGTACAGGGTCCTGAACGATTCCTTATTAAGATGTCGGAATGCTGTTCTGAGGTTTGCCAGGCGCCCATATGCTGCAGCAGTTATTTGGTTGATGTGCGCTTCAGGAGATGTGCCTGGTGTTATACTCACCCCAAGATCTTTTTCCTTGAGTGAGGTTTGTAGTCTCTGACCCCCTAGACTGTACTCCGTCTGCAGTCTTCTTTGCCCTTCCCCAATCTTCATGACTTTGCACTTGGTGGGATTGAACTCCAGGAGCCAATTGCTGGACCAGGTCTGCAGCCTGTCCAGATCCCTTTGTAGTTCTGCCTGGTCTTCGATCGAGTGAATTCTTCTCATCAACTTCACGTCATCTGCAAACAGGGACACCTCAGAGTCTATTCCTTCCGTCATGTCGTTCACAAATACCAGAAACAGTACTGGTCCTAGGACTGACCCCTGTGGGACCCCGCTGGTCACAGGTGCCCACTCTGACACCTCGCCACGTACCATGACTCGCTGCTGACTTCCTGACAAGTATTCCCTGTGTGTGTACTCACCTAATTGTACTCACCTAATTGTGGTTGCAGGGGTCGAGACTCAGCTCCTGGCCCCGCCTCTTCACTGATCGCTACTGGATCCTCTCTCTCTCTGCTTCCTGAGCTTTGTCATACCTCTTCTTAAAACTATGTATGGTTCCTGCCTCCACTACTTCACTTGCTTGGCTATTCCACTTGCTGACAACTCTATGACTGAAGAAATACTTCCTAACGTCCCTGTGACTCGTCTGAGTCTTCAGCTTCCAGTTGTGACCCCTTGTCCCTGTGTCCCCTCTCTGGAACATCCTATCTCTGTCCACCTTGTCTATTCCCCGCAGTATCTTGTATGTCGTTATCATGTCTCCCCTGACCCTTCTGTCCTCCAGTGTCGTCAGTCCGATTTCCCTTAACCTTTCCTCGTACGACATTCCCTTGAGCTTTGGGACTAGCCTTGTTGCAAACCTTTGTACTTTCTCTAACTTCTTGACGTGCTTGACCAGGTGTGGGTTCCAGACTGGTGCTGCATACTCCAGTATGGGCCTAACATACACAGTGTACAGTGTCTTGAACGATTCCTTATTAAGGTATCGGAACGCTATTCTCAGGTTTGCCAGGCGCCCATATGCTGCAGCGGTTATTTGGTTGATGTGTGCCTCCGGTGATGTGCTCGGTGTTATGGTCACCCCAAGGTCTTTCTCCCTGAGTGAGGTCTGTAGTCTTTGTCCACCTAGCCTATACTCTGTCTGCGGTCTTCTTTGCCCCTCCCCAATCTTCATGACTTTGCATTTGGCTGGATTGAATTCGAGAAGCCAGTTACTGGACCACATGTCCAGCCTCTCCAGGTCTCTTTGCAGTCCTGCCTCATCCTCGTCCGATTTAATTCTTCTCATCAGCTTCACGTCATCTGCGAACAGGGACACTTCAGAGTCTATTCCTTCCATCATGTCGTTCACATATATCAAAAATAGCACTGGTCCTAGAACTGACCCCTGTGGGACCCCGCTCGTAACAGGCGCCCACTGTGATACCTCTTCACGTACCATGACTCGTTGCTGCCTCCCTGTCAGGTATTCCCTTATCCATTGCAGTGCCCTTCCTTTTACGTGTGCCTGATCCTCCAGCTTCTGCACTAATCTCTTGTGGGGAACTGTGTCAAAGGCCTTCCTGCAGTCTAGGAAAACGCAATCTACCCAACCCTCTCTCTCGTGTCTTACTTCTGTTACCTTGTCATAAAACTCCAGGAGGTGTGTGTGTGTGTGTGTGTGTGTGTGTGTGTGTGTGTGTGTGTGTGTGTGTGTGTGTGTGTTGTGTGTGTGTGTGCGTGCGTTTGGGCATCAAGGTATAATGAGCACTTGTCAGTTAGAGAAGGTAACGCATATTTCAACAATGGCAAGAGAATAATTGTCTGTAGATATCGGCCTCGGTCTTAGATTATGAGAGCGTGATTTATGTCCAGAACATGGAAACAGCCTGTGCCAAAAGCTTTGCTTATTTATATATATTTTTCGTCTATTAATAAAAATGGTTATCATCATAAAATAATGAGTACTTCAGCTGTTGGTTTTCACACTCCCGGCACATTACAATAGCGAATTTTCACTTACTTCCTTTTTATTTAGTTTCATAATAGATAATGTATTTCCTAGACTCTCAACGGTCAGCTAAATGGAAGTAATTATAGCAAGTTATGGCAGTCAAGAAACCTCTGATGAGGTTTGTGAGTTTTGGTTACTTTTAATATAACTACACTATTGAATATTACGTTTATGTCGAACGACGACCTTGAACTAACCTCTAACTTTGCTCATATCATAAAGTAACCGCTAGCTCTGCCCTGGTTTAAATATCACAACCTAAGCACTAACTCTGCCATACCATAAGCTCACTCCATGCATTAACTCTGCCATACCATAAGCTCACACCATCAACTCACAATTACATCAGGATCAATAAAGTCGAAGACACAGACGAAGCTGCTGGCGATCTGGTTGACGAGCTTCTGGTCGCTGCAGAAAGGAAGACTTCCTTTACCCTCCACCCGCATGTACTCCAGTCCTTCAGGATGTCTCACCTCCACCTTGACCTGGTAGCCGGGGTCGTGGTGAACCTGGAGCTGCACCTCCACCAACACAGACTTCTCCCCCAGTGTAAATGGATGTCTGCCGGAGAGTGAAGGAGTACATAATTAATAAATAGAAATATGTTACAGTCTTTAGGAATGCACGAGAAATACATAGAAATACATGGGAAACAGATGGAAAATATTAAGACACTTCGAGGTACATGAGAATACATCTAAAATGCTTGGGTGTTTTTGAGAAATACATGGAAATAGATATTGAAATGTCGTAGTACATACCAGCAATCTGCTGACAAAGACTAACTGCCTATACTTCTGAAGAGAGAGAGAGAGAGAGAGAGAGAGAGAGAGAGAGAGAGAGAGAGAGAGAGAGAGAGAGAGAGAGAGAGAGAGAGAGAGAGAGAGAGAGAGAGAGTGAGAGAGAGAGAAAGCTAGCATCAGGTAGGGTAGGCTCCAAAACCTGGTGGTTCCTGGTTAAGGACAGACAAGGATATCTGCCTGATGAACTCATTCCACCTCTAAATCGACAGGATGGGATCACCTCTACTAGTAGTCAAAAGAAACGGAGCTCTTTGCCGAACACTTTGCTACCAAAATGCAAGTTCCTGATTCAGCAAGGGACCCTCCTTGGCTAGCTGCAAGAACTGTGTCAAAACTGTCAGTGGTGACAATAAGGCAGAAGGAGGTGCATTTCCTTCTCAAATCGCTTGACCAAGAAAAGGCTGTGGGCCCAGTCAAGTTGAGCTCAAGATTGCTGAGAAGATGTGCAGACCAGCTAGGAGCGCCTCTAACTCGCATCTTTCAGCACTGCCTAGTGCAGTGTAAATGGCCTTCTCTGTGGAAAGAGGCAAATGTAGTCCCTGTTCACAAAAAGAAGAGCAAAGCAGAAATAAGCAACTACAGACCAGTGTCACTCCTGTCAATCACTGGCAAGATCCTTGAGACAATAATCTCAAGACAAATGACAGAGTTTTTTGACAACCACTCACTACTTTGTGACCGTCAATATGGCTTCAGGAAAGGTTACTTTGCTGCTGATCTGTTGTTAAACCTTTCCACTAAGTGGCACCAGTCACTGGATGAATCCAAAGTCAGCTGTGTGGTAGCACTGGACATTGCTGGTGCATTCGACCTGGCGTGGCACCAGGGCCTCTTAGCAAAACTGCAAACTCTGGGAATTGCAGGCTCTACGCTATGTCTCCTCAGTGATTACCTTCATGGTAGATCTCTTAGGGTAGTTCTCAATGGAATAGAATCAGCAAGACATCCTATTAGGGCAAGTGTTCCACAAGGAAGCGTGCTGGGACCATTGTTATGGAATGTCTACTTCAATGACCTTCTTCATCTCATCCCAGAATCCCATGCATTTGCAGACGACTGTACACTGACATTCACTTATCCAAGAGAAGAAATGCCAGCTGCTCTAAGCTACATCAATCACCAGCTAAGAGCTATATCAGCTTGGAGAAATAGATGGCAAGTAACATTTGCACCTGAGAAAACACAAATGATGATGATCTCTAGGCACCATGATGGTAATGCCGGTGCAGTAGCAAGGATGAATGGGAGGATGTTGGTACCTGGGGAAGAAGTTGATATCCTTGGGGTGAAATTTGACTCCAAACTGACCATGAAGAACCATGCTGTAAATCTTACAAACTAGGCAGCCAGGAAGCTTACAGCACTTCGCCGTATCTCGCATCTGCTTGACAGTAGGGGTTGCAAGATTCTGTATGAGGCACAAGTATGATCACACCTTGAGTATGCTCCACTTTCTTGGTTTGCCTGCCCACCCTCTCATCTGCGACTGCTTGACAGAGTAAAGAACAGAGCAAGACGTCTCATCTCTCGCCTGGACCAATCCTGGATAGATCTGTCATTTCAGCAGAGCCTTCAACACAGGAGGGATATGGGTGGCCTTACTGTTGTGTACAAGGCCAATATTGTCAAAGTTCTACACTTGGATCCACTTCGAGGACAGCATGAAGCAAGCTTCTATACCACAAGACGGGCAGAAAGCAGCAACTTCACTCTGGCTGTACCCTTCTCCAGAACATCACTCCATCTGAGATCATACATACCCAGGATGACTCGAGTATGGAACACATTCGTACAGCATTATGATGTCAACGAGATAAAGTCAGTTGATCAAATGAAAATGCTGGCCCACAGATGGCTCCAACTTCATCCTATTCCCTACTTGTATGTCTCGTAACAATAAAAATGCTTTCATATGAGCTGATGTAGGTAACAGCTCTTAGCTTGCCAATAAAGATAGGGATCCTTAACCTAACCTTGTCAAACCCTGTGTAAAAAAAATAAAAGAGAGTGAGAGAGAGAGAGAGAGGGATCCTTAACCTTGTCAAACCCTGTGTAAAGAGAGAGAGAGAGAGAGAGAAGAGAGAGAGAGAGAGAGAGAGAGAGAGAGAGAGAAGAGGAGAGAGAGAGAGAGAGAGAGAGAGAGAGAGAGAGAGAGAGAGAGAAATAAAGTCAGGAATCCTTAACCTGTGAATAGCTTGCCAATAAAGCTAGGGATCCTTAACCTTGTCAAACCATGTGTAAAAAAAAAAAAAAAAAAAAAGAGAGAGAGAGAGAGAGAGAGAGAGAGAGAGAGAGAGAGAGAGAGAGAGAGAGAGAGAGAGAGAGAGAGAGAGAGAGAGAGAGAGAGAGAGAGAGAGAGATTAAGGGAGGCTGAACATCATCATTACTGACGAGGATGCTACCAGATGAAGGTCTGGACTAGCGAAGCAGGTACGGTTGTCTGGGCAGACCAGTGTTGTATTGGTGACGTAGGTGTTGCTGGCGGAGAATGTGTCTAGCACAGGTGCTAGAGTTACCGCCGCCGTTGCTGCGTCGGACGTAGCTTCGTCAGCGTCCTGCTGCAGCAAACTCACAGTGACCGAGGCTCGTAGGGTCTGACCAATGTTGGACCTGACACGCTGATGAAATTACATTATTAATACACACACAGTCAAGTAAAGAAAATAATTATTTTAACGCACCGGCCGTCTCCCACCTTGGCATGGTGACTTGAAAAGAAAAACGAAAGATTTTCTTTTATATTTGGCAATTCACATAGGAGGAGAAGGGGTTACTAGCCCCATGCTCCCGGAATTTTAGCCGCCTCTAACGATAGGCAGGGTTTACGGAGGAAATATTCTTTTCTACTTTTCCATGGTGAATACACATAAATTTGCATGAACATAATAAAAAACTGTGAATAAGTACAATAAATAAAAAAATATATATAAATAGAAAGTGAAAAATAAACAAATAAAAAAAGCACCGTAAAGAGGGACACAGGATGTACACACGAGAGCTTACACAGGTAAGAACATAAGAACATAAGAATGTAGGAGGCCTACTGGCCCATGCGAGGCAGGTCCTTATCAAAACGACCTCTACCTAAAGCTACCCAAGAAATAACTCCCGTACCCAGTGACACCAATCAAACCCAGCCCCTCCCACTCATATATTTGTCCAGTCTCTTCTTAAAGCTACCTATTACAACCCAGGATTCCAAATGGCCTGTTATCCCGGGTGTAATGGGAGCAAAATAAACACAGCAGAAAAGTTTAGACTTAATATTATCCTTCACCAATTTAGAACAGCAATATGTACACTATGTACAGTGATAAGTATAGTGCACTCCACGGTAAGCAAGGCAGAAATAGAAGCCACAAGATAGCAGATCGTGCTTCAACCAGCTCTAGAATGGGAATGACAAGGACAGACAGGAGAGTGGTACCCACATAACCTCTGCGATTGCCAAAACCATCTTCTTATTGGCTAGAACCTGGTCACTAGTTGAACGACGGGGCCCCATCATCAACTCTTAGCAACCTGGTTCGCTGGTTGGGGGAGGTAGCCTGTAAATGAGGGTGTGTACATGCGCCGAATAAATGTTACGTACTCTTTGCATGCCACACTACCCAAGGTCCTAGCCTCTATCACCCTACTGGGAAGACTGTTCCACGCATCTACAACTCTGTTAGAAAACCAACTTAAATCCATTATTTCTGGTTCTTACCTGGTTCGACACCCTCAGTACTTTATTATCTCCCTTGTTTATGCCCGTCATCCACTTATACACTTCAATGATATCTCCCCTCATTCTACGCCTCTCCAGAGAGTGGAGATTTAAGGCTTTAAGTCTATCTTCATACGGGAGGTTCCTTACACAGTAGGTAGGTGTATGCCTTTCAGCCGAGAGTTTACTTTAGTCCCTAATACAGAGTATAAAGTATTCTTGAAGCTTGTGTAAAGGTTACGTGCAGCCTCGATTATCTACGAGTAACCGATAGTCTTTAAACCCCATTAACCAAAATATACCCTAAATAGCCTCTGAAGTATCACAAGCATTTTTATTTTACTGACAAGGAAGGCTGTCATCAGAATACATCATACACTGACGATTCCCATATTCCCACACTGACGATTCACTCACCCACGCTTCACTGACACGCTTTACTGTCTTAACAGTAAACTTAACAGCAACTATTAGGCCCGGTGCTGGATCGGGCCACAGGGGCGGTGACCTCCAGAAGCGACTAGGTGCCAGCATGTCAAGCACACACACACAGAGAAAGAGAGGATGGGAAGAACTAGCAAGGATGGACTTATTATTCACCCTTTGTGAATCTGATGTGGAGGACAGTATATGAGAAGCTCCTCCCCCTCCCGTCGTTCCTAGCAACCAGGTAAACTCGAGGTAAACTCTTAGGTGACAGGAGTCATAACAAACAGCGCGAAGGTTATTAAGCATCATCCAAGGGAAGGAGATCTAAAGAACAAATTAACACTCAACCGAGAGATGTGTAAATCTCAGTGTATATACACAGTAAGATGTGTAAATCTCATGGTATATACACAGAGAGATGTTTAAATCTGAGTGTATATACATAGAGAGATGCAGTAAGATTACAGTTAACAGATAAAATCACAATTTATAGAATAACCAAGCGCTTTCGTGATTTCTCACATTATCGAGGAACTGTGAAAATGTTCCTTAATAATGTGAGAAATCACCAAATCGCTTGGAGTTCTACTATTTTTTATACAGTGGTTGTTCTGAACACAGAGATATGTGTAGATTTCAGTGTATATACACAAAGAGATGTGTTACTCTTAGTGTGTATACACCTAGAGATGTGTAGATTTCATAGTACATACACGGAGATGTGCAACTCTCAGTGTACATACACTTAGAGCTACGTATATAACTCCCAGTATATACACTGAGAGATGTGTAGCTCTTAGTATATATGCACTGAGATATGTGTAGCTCTTAGTATATATACACTGAGAGATGTGTAGCTTTTAGTATATATACACTGAGAGATGTGTAACTCTCCGAGTTTATAAGCAGTATAAATTCGACGAGATATATGTAATGCTCCCTATATATTTACTGAGCAATAGGTAACTCTCAATAAATATACATAATGAGACATGTAACGTTTATTGTGTATTCACCAAGAGAAGTAATTCTCATTATCTGTTCACTGAGAGAGGTACACATCTGTCAGTGTATATACACTAACAAATGCGTATCTCTCAGTGTATACATACTGAAAGACGTATATCTCTCAATGTATATACCCCGAGATATGTGTAACTTTCAGTGCATATACACCGAGAGATGTATATTTCTCAGTGAATATACGCCGAGAGATGTGTATCTCTCAATGTATATGCATCGAGAAAGTGGAGGGGAAAGCAGAGGTGAGTGCAGGTTTGACTGACGTAGGCGCATTCCTCTTCAAGAAATTCCCGGCTGGAAATGTGGAGAGCTCTCAGGAAGAAGTCAAACACAACTCCTCTCTTGGTACGAGTGTCATGGTGAGAATATAAGTCTGACAGATTTGGTTAGGTTAGGTAAGGTTTGTCAGGAAACAGGACAAGTGTTTCCGGATGCGGGTCTTAGTCATATGATGGCCCGCAGCTAGAGCTTTTGGTCATTTCACCGAGAACAGAATTCGTCTGTCTTACAGGTTAACCCCTTTAAAAAGTTATGGATATGATTATAACCATTAAACAGTATTTGGTGGATACAGCATCCCCACGACCTTAGCTTACATGCTTCTTGGCCAAGCCTTGCCACACCCGCGTTGCAACACCACTGTCAGGCGACCTAACTTTCTTGAGGCTTCAACCTGACCTGAATTCACTTACCTCGCATGTGCCTCAACTTTATACACTGTTTCGTGTAACCTGTGTACCATGGAAGTGAACGAGGTCCCAGGAAGTGTATATAAACTCTGAGATATATGATTCAGTGTATATATATGCCAAGAGACGTATAGATCTCAAACACAGAAAAAAAAACACGAATATTAATAAAATATAGAAGGCACTTACATGTATAATAAAGTTTCGAAAATAAAATTTGAGAGTACAAAAATATGAGTAAGAATAAAATTAATGAAATATTTCTTACAGAAAGTGGAAATATCAGTTCGAGTTGGAAGGTAAAATCGAACAAAGAGAGGGAAAGAGAGAGTGAATGAGAGAGAGAGAGAGAGAGAGAGAGAGAGAGAGAGAGAGAGAGAGAGAGAGAGAGAAGAGAGAGAGAGAGAGAGAGAGAGAGAGAGAGAGAGAGACAGACAGAGAGAGAGACAGAGACAGAGACAGAGACAGAGACAGAGACAGAACAGACAGACAGACAGACAGACAGACAGACAGAGAGACTGAGATGATAGATAGATAGATAGATAGAGAGAGATGCTTACCTTGAAGAATACCTGCAATGACCACTGGCTATTTCTGCTTTTAAAATAGACCCGACGAGTCATGGTGAAGCTGAAACAGTGCAGTCAGAATTAATCTATGCTCTAGAACTTCACTGGGGACCCTCATCCTCAGATAAAACAATAAACATATCTCAGAAAAAACTCAAGATTCTCCCCGAAGCTGTTTGAATATTTTCTTCTACCACCCTATGTATTATATATATGTTAACTTTATTAATAGACAGAATACATTGACAGAAATACAAACATGAATACGTTGGTATAATATATCAACGGTTATAAATCTCCTCTTACTCCTCTGAGGCCGGACACGAGCCCAGTAAATATACAATACATACATATATATATATATATAATATATATATATATATATATATATATATATATATATATATATATATATATAATATATATATTTATAAAAATATATATTATAATATATATTATATAATAATATTAATACTATAATATAAAATATATATATAATATATATATAATATATACATATATATATTATTGTAACCACGAACGAGTGAATTTAATCAATAAGAACACTACCATTAGCTGTGGGATCAATCCCATGATGTTGTAGCCTGCCTCATGGTGAGCGAAAATTCACGACGCTGTAACCCACTGGACCATACAATCCTACAAAGATCACGCACTCAACAGAGCAAGGTGTTGTACCGTGATCCGAGGACATACGATGATATAGGTGCCTCAGAGCAAATTTCGTTCTATTCCCCGTTCGGTGTACTAGCCTCCACAAGCAGTATATAAGAACATAAGAAAGAAGAAGCACTGCAGTAGGCCTACTGGCCCATTCGGGGCAGGTCCATGTCAATTCCCGGCTTAGACCAGTGGCCCACCCAGTCAGGTCACCTCCACTTAAGGAAGGAGCACGGCTTCTGACTCAGTAGCACCAGCTAGTCAGGTCCATTCTAAATATATAGTGATAAATTAGACACATGTGCAACTCTTGGGTATCTTTATCCTCAATAAAGATACCCAAGAGTTGCACATGTGTCTAATTTATCAACGTGTCGGTTCTCTGAACCATTCATCTACAATAAATATATAGTATTGTAACCACGAACGAGTGGTTTTTAATCAATAACAACACAACGACAACAAGGGTTCAATCCCCTGGCTAGGCGCAGTATTGTTATTGATTAAATACCACTCGCTCGTGGTTACAGTACTACATATAATTGTGATGAATGGTTTGAAAACACTTATGCAACATATAGGAATCTTTATTTAGGAAACATTTCGCCACACAGTGGCTTCATCAGTTCAATACAAAGCAGAAAGGTGTAAGGAGAGGAGGAGTTTGAGGTAATCCGTCCCTCAGCCTGAAGTCGATGTGTTCAGTCCATCAATCTTGTAGAATGTACAGCATAGGGCCGGAGACGTGGCTTATATACAGTACTCAGGTGAGGCGAGGCAGGAGGAGGTGCAGAAACTCTCAGAAACTCTCTACAGTTGGAATTAAAGTCATTTAAATCATCATAGTCTGACCGTATTTTTGATAATTGTCATGTAACGTTCGTTAAGGTTTCTTCTAATGCTATAATATTCAGTTTTTCTGGCTATGGATATTAGTATGCCTGGGGGCACTTCCTGCCCTGCTTCCTGCCTCCTGCCTCCAGCCTCTCTGCCTCACTCTTCTACCTCCTCTTTCCTGGAACACTGAAAGCTCCTGATGATGTGTTGATTGAAACACGATAGGCCTAGAGCTAGCAGTTAACTCCTCCCATGGTTGTTTGCATATATATATATATACATAATACATACATACATACATATATATATATATATATATATATATATATATATATATATATTATATATATATATTATTATATTGTATGCGATATTAACAACGCAGTCATTGAAGAATATTAAATTAAGCCTTCTAATCTTATTTAG